CCTACTTATATATATAGCCCAGCCCTACTTATATCTAATATTCGCACATATGTATAGATTTCAGACTCTCAGACCTTCATGAGTTAATATATTTTCAGTTTTTGCTGAATTCTACCTTTAAATTTATGTGGAACACCGTTTTAAAATTCAGAAAATGCATAAACTGTGTGTCTTAATTGTATAATAAACTGAATACCATCATGCACCTGGTGAGTGCTCACAAAATATTCTGCTTATTACTGTGTAACTTGCTCATTTTACGTAGGACTGGGAAAGATCTATCTATGCCTGACACAGATGGACAGCGTCCAATGAGCTTCAGACGGGTTCAAAGGTGAAGGCTGACACTGTTGCACCCAGAGGTTAGTACCTTTTCTGCATGCTCAGTAATTTGCTTGTAGCTGTGGAGGATTTAAAATTCATTTCACTGAAAGCATAAAAGAGACTGGAGCGATATTCTTTCCAGTACCCTTCACTCAGTGAGTAATCTAACCTGAAAAGCAGTTTAATACTTATTGCTATGCAGAGAGTTCATTTTTAGTGTGCTGCTTGGTGTCGTTTTCAGCTAACAACATGCAGATTTTACCTCAGTACCATCACAGAACCGTCTAGAGGACAGCTCTTGCTAGCATTGTAGAAGATGAGCAAGCATAAACAGAGCATAGACAAGTGCCATTTTGGACCACAGTGTGTCTGTGAGCTGTACAGAGTGTGTATTTCCCAAGGAGAAAAAAAATTGTATAAGTGCACTCTGACATGCAGAAAGATGTAAGAAAGACGGGACAGGAGAGGTAAGGCCTGCTCAGTGGTGTCTGATAAACTGGAAATTATGGTAGATGCAGTGCAGGCTAAACAGGTTACCTTAAAGTATTGTTGTGAAATGTACAGGGATGCACTATGTTGGACTGTTGCAGGAACGGGCAATGTTAGGCTATATCAAGGACAGCAGACATCAATTTAAATTTAAGGCCAGGACTGGCACTCGTGCCTAAGTACCAAAGCTGATCTGTCTGCTTAGATCTTCTACAATTCAGTTAAATCTGCAACAAAAAAAAAGGTAACTCTCAGAGCAGCAGCAGTGCCTCTTTCCCTCTTGATTACCATAAAAACATTAAGGATGTTCTTTGTTTCTTACTCTGCATTTTAGCTTAAATGTTGTTAAATAAATAATGACACAATGTAATAAGTCATTTGTTGTTGTTTATCTGAGCTTAGATTTGCCTTCTCTTTGTTTTCCTCGAGCGTTATGGAAGTAAACAAAATGACCCAAAGTGGTGTCCACAAGACCATACATTACTACAAAGTTCAAACTGGTTGATGAACACAGCTCCTGAAGTGTTTCCCAGTCATAATGAAAAACTGATAGCACTGTGCACAAAAACAGACGTTTATTGCTAAGGACTCGAAGCTTTCGTCGAAGCGGCTATCCTAGAGCACAAGCTAGCCTAGGTAAATACCACTTCAGTTGCAAGTATCACTTCTAGCTACACCCTACATCACAGAGTTGGAGAACATCGAGAATTACTTACAGCAATGATAAACAAAGACGTTAAAATCATTTTCAACTCCAGAGGGAGCCACTGGAGATGGGCAAAGAGACACAGGCAGCACCAGGGCAGGAGGTTCACAACCTCTTGTCTGTTTCCATCTGAACTTTTTCTTTCCCTTTTTATCTCGCCTGCCACTTAAAATACATTTTTTGAAACCCAATTTGAAAAGGGAAACGTTTCACACACCTGCAGCTGTCCCACAGCAGAGCGGCACCCACCAGGCCGAAGAGAAGATACTGGTTATGACATCAGGGGGAAACAGGGTGATGTTCCTCTGTACCTGAAGTAAGTTAAGCACCAGAGCCAGGAAGACGCCCACAGAGAACAACATGGCCCCTCGGATCAACAGGTTGGTCGTCCTGCAGAGCAAAATAAAAGGCGTCAGGATGCTGGTCTGGATTGGTATTTAGGTGCTATTGTGTTTTCTAGTCTTCTTGACCACTCAAAGATCTTTTTTCTCTGTACTTTAAGCACTTCATTCACACACTCACACTCTCTTGGACCAGAATTGTACCAGTGGCGAATTGGGCTTCACCTTGCTCACAAATACTTATAAAGTATACTGAAGGAGCTGGGACAGACCATTAGTGGACAACTTGGCTACCTTGTTACCCAGGTAACACCCAGATTACCTGCATACAGTGTTGAGTTTTAGCAGGACAACTTAGCCTCAGATTACAGTTTCTGTGCTACAATGTTCAATGAAGACTAATGACAGATTTACCTTACTATAACATACAGCAAAAACAGTAAAAATAGCACTATGTGAGTTTGTTGTTCTTCTTATGGTGACCTTCTGTAGCACACAGAGCTAACCTGTTGGTGATAGCTGAGATGTATGGTCCACGAGAATGCTGCATCTCTCCAGACCTCGACCACTGCTGCTGGTCGCCGGTCACTGTTCTTCCGCTCATCGTCGTCAAGGTTAGAGACATTCGTAAGACTAATTCAGGAAGTTATAGATGGTGTCTGACATCTTTAAACATTCGTGTGGTCAATGTCCTCCACTGACATCCCAAACCACGCTGAAAAACAAGAACAGGCAAAAAAAAAAAAGAATAATTAGGCTGAACATCATAAAAAAGGTAGGTTAGCTGGGTGCTACATGCAATGGGTGACCTAATGGTTTTACATAGTAAGTTTTAGAACATTTTTTTTAACCTAAAGGATTTATGGTGTAAGATATTATATACACGACTTCTAACGTTAAAACTTTCTGTATCTTTCAGAAATAAAAGTCAGTGTGTATGTTCAGAAAAGTCTACATACTCCATGTTTGTTTGTAATTACAACACAAACCACCCAACTATACTCCATGATCAGCAATTCCTGTAATCTGTGCTCATTCATGTAGCCTTGTACCATCAGTAACCATGCATAGAGGTGACTGTAAAACCATGACCTGTATATAGATAGAATGAGTGGTTGACTAAATGTATACAACCTGTGCAACTTGAATTCATGTATCTAAAACTAATACACTATTATGTAACCACCATCCATGTATGCATGTGGATATTTGGTTACTGGCTGTTAAACCGTGTCGAGCATGTTCATTTCTCCTCTGAGGCAAAGAGCCGAGGTGATTATTAGAACAGTGATGACTTTAGGTCTTTGCTTCAGTATCAGCAGGAACAGGAAGATGTTACTGGTGGATTTTACTGGTGGAGAGCTGGTGACCACAGAAAAGGGATCATATTACATTTGGATACAATTCAGGAACAGTTTTTAAAAAAAAGGAGGGAGGAGGGGCTTCCAAAGGATGCACTCTCTGGGAGCGACTCCTGCACAAGAATCCAAAACACTATTTGTGAAACCCTCTGACTCCACAAACACCAAAACCACGTTCCCCAAGTCTGGTACAAAGCCACAGACCGAACCGCAGCTATACCATCGCCATGAGTTCCTCCATTGTTGTGTCGCATTTGTTTCTCAGATAGAAATGATGCCACGGGACTTTAAGCCGCGTTGCTATAACGACTTCACGCACATTTAGTTGGCACTCAGTTGTAATGGAAAAGAGTCGAGTCATGCCGAGTGGGTACCAGTGGAAAAGACACAAATGAGTCTGCATCCACCTAAAGCATCAAAATCAAGTCTCACATAGGGAGACTGACAGATGCAGCACCTGCAAACATAGATACTTAACTTAACTTCCTTCATGGCTTTCAAGCTGTCCTGAAAGGCTAGGTCAATTTTACTAGCATTACCATTCAAGCACTTTATTATGGTTGCTAATACTAGCACGGCACAAAATGCAAGCACAAAGGAGTGCCAGTACACTTGTGAGGAAAAGTAACTGATTTAATTAATTGAACTGAATTAAAGATTAATTCTTGCTCGTGCTTTTTTAAATGCTCCAAAGTAGCAGCTGCTGTCATATTCAACTACAGATAGGTTGTTGTGGGTTGGCTATATAGTAGCCTGTATGTAGAACTACAATCAGAATCCATTATTATATAGACCTATAGTACTAATGTCATCAAATAAACAGTCTCTATGCCCTAATGCTGTGCACTGTCTTGCTTGTATTTAACATAACTTTGTTAAGTGGTTAATATATAGTAGTGTGAAAAAGTGTTTGCCCCCTTCCTGATTTGTGATGGGCTATGAAGTTAAACTTCTGTCGAGTCAGTCCACAGAGTATTTTCCCCAAAGTCTTGGGGATCGTCACAATGTTTTCTGGGAAAACTGAGATGAGCCTGTTCTTGTGCTCAGCAAGGATTTTCATCTTGGAACTGCCATGCAGGCCATTTTTCCAGGTCTCTTTATGGTCCTGAACACTGACCTTAAGTGAGGCAAGTGAAGCCTGCAGTTCTTTGGATCTTGTTCTGGGGTCTTTTACCACTCTGGGGGTAACCTTAGTCAAATGGACACTCCTGAGAAGGCTCACAACCGTGTTTTCACCATGTGTGGATAATGGCTCTCACTGTGGTTCATGGAAGTCCCACAGCTTTATGACTGTCTTTGTAATATTTTGGCCGAGGGCTCTCAATCACTTTTACCAATTTTCCAAAGAGGTGATCCACCACAGCTAATTTACATTATAACGGGGAGGAGGCAATAACTTTTTCACACAGGGCCATTTAGGTTTGGCCTTTTTTCCCCTAAATAATAAACACATTCACTTAGAAACTGCTTTTTGTGTTTACTTGTTATCTTTGTCTAATATTTAAATTTGTTTGATTACCTGAAATATTTAAGTGTGACAAACATACAAAAACTAAACAAACACAGGAAATCAGGAAGAGGACAAATACTTTTACATACCACTGTAGCAGATGTATCAGCAGCTATATTAACCAATGCTGAATATAATGCTGTGATGCTGCGACATTTTTCTATCTACAGACAGTTTGAGCAGATGAATGGTGAGCTTGCGCTGGATAATTAACTCTACTGGTTTGACTACTGAAACTTTTAGCGTCTTTTATGCAAGGCTGAATCGGGGGATCAAGTGTGCCTCTCATTCACCCATACCACGTATCTGTATCTTTAAAGCTTTATTTTTAGCAGGCGTCAGGGCTGCCGCAGCATTTTGCCCTCGTTAGACCGATTAACACAGCCCCCATTTACCGGTCCTTTACTACCTGGTGACGACCAAAACATGTCAAAGAAACAACTAAACACCCCAATTAAATAGTCACAGTAGAAAACACGCAGCTGTCGGGGTAACGTAGGTTAGCTTAACGTAAAGTTCGTTGTGTGTACGTAAGCACTGAATAGTTAGCTAAAACGAACGTGTCGCGTACGTGATAGCACACTGGCTAAGGTCCAAGCTCTTACCTTATGCCGACAAACACCTTCTTCTTACACATTTATTCATTTCAATGGCTTTTGCTCGTCGTGTAACACTAAACTGAAACAGACGAAAAGCTAGAGTTTTCTCTCCCTATTGTGACTACTTCCGGCTGAACGGCTAGCCGTTCGCGTTTAAAGGCATGACGTAACCACGTCACAAAAAATGACGCGTCATGTGATTGGATGTGTGCGGAACGTTAACCCAATCGCTCTGGACTATAAAAGAATGTGCAGAAGCAGAGACAGATGAGAGACAGGATCTATTGGATAATTCTTCTGTAGAAATAGTTTCAACTGTTGATTGTTTTTAAATATAGTTTTTAATTAAAAATCGCTTTATGCGAAATGTTTATGCATCAATAACCAGGAAAGGGACAATGGCTATGTTTAATTTAGTGAGCAATTAAATTTATCTTTTGTAGCTTAATAAAACAGCCCCAATACCCAGCTCAGCGTTGTACTCTAGTTTTTATCCACTCAAAAGAATCCTCACATATACACTTAATTTTGTAAATATTTATTTTATTGATTTGTTTTGTGGTGTGATTGGCTTACAGTAATGAAAAAGTGAGAAAGTCACCGTGCGCTGTGGATTACTCTTAATCCTCATTTATGCTATTTTGTAATCAGCATACTGAGACTTGCAACTCATGATGGTGTTTTGGGGATTATACCTAAGTACACAATGGTTTTAACAGAAAGAGGCTTGCCTTGCTCTCTTGTCAACTATAGCACTTAACTTTATCTGTTAACTGGAGTTTACATGCTATGGATCTTAAAAAATACCTGTAGAAAGCTTAACACTGAAAAATGTTGAACTGAGGGAAATTGTTTGTTAATATATTTACTAAAATCCTGGAATAAACTCAAATTAGAATTAAACACGAGTCCTATATGATAAACTGGACTGTACTACACTAAGCAGTAATTGTTAGTGCTCACGTGGTTGAAAAGAGTGCTGTACCTTCACTGAGTCCAGCAAAGTTGTATCCTCTATGATTTCTAGATATTTCGGGAGGTTTGATTGACGTGAAGTTCAGTTCAATTTATTTATACAGCACCAATTCACAGTTGCTTCTAGGTGCTTTAACAGTTAGAGTTAACAGTTTGAAACAATTTCTTTCCATCTGAGGGTCACTTTGGATCTTCTTCCAGCCCCCAGCAAAGTGGTGACACATCCAGAAAACCTGTACTTACATACAATTGCTTGAACTGATCTTATCCTGTTTAGAAATGGCTACAAGAGTCATTGCCAAGTGGTATAAATTTAATCATCCTTCTTAGGTCTTCACTGAGCTCCTTGGAGTTTCAGAGTCCAGCATGTGCTATTTAACAAATCCTTTTAATGTTCTGTAACTATGTGTGTAATGTTATTAATAAACTTTATTTATTTGCACATTTGTTTTTATGTGGAAACAGTTCGCAGAATATTCAAAGGATGGTTTAAATGAAAACCAGACATTTAACACAACATGCACACTAATGATTTTTAAAACTCAGCTAATTGCCTCAAAGACAGACAATTGTCTGAGACAGAATGTCTTGGAGGGAGGTTCAGAGGGTGAGAGGGGTGTACAACGTCTTCAGACCCATAATGCATCTAACCAGCCCCTGGAAGACAAGTGCACCATGAGAAAAACACAATCTGAACCAAATGTGCTTCAATCCATTTGCAGTCCTTTTATAGAAAAAATGTCTCACCATGCTTAAGCACTTTTCTCCATTGCCACAGGCGCTATGAGCATAAAAGACCTGCTCCAGTCACATGCAATATGGCCCAGAGTCTCAGCCTCTTATGTGGCATTAATCCAGTTTCTGCCCCTCATTTGCCTTGAAGTTCCACATTGGTGTA